CACTCTATGCCCTTTGGGCCCACAATAACAATCACCTTATGCCATATTTAACATAACAAGAGCCACGTAGTGAAACCTGCTTGGGGACAGGGCAAGGGTCGGTATAGAAGTCCACCGTCACAGTCCCGCGGAGGCTTCCCAGCCGCATGATGTCCACGGTCAGGAACTCCTCATCCTCTTCCACATAGTAAATCCTCGGCTTGAGGATTTTGGGTTCAGTTAGGGCTTTAAGGGTTTAAGGGTTTAGGGTTTAGGGCTCATGGTGAATCCCCGGCTGGAGGGGCTTTGGCTTTTGGGTTTTAAGCTTCATGGTAGATCTTGGGCTGTGGGGTTTTGGGGTGCGCTGAGGGGCGGGCCAGTCCCAAAACCCAAACCCTAAACCTGAGCTAGCTCGCACACCAAGTACGTCGAGACTGTAAGGGGTGTACCTGAACACTTCCCAAGTTTCAAGCTGTAAACCTCCGAACCCCTTAATTGGGTTTAGGGGTTAGGGCTACCTAGAGTTTAGCGGTTTTGGGTCTCACAACCTTCAGAATTGGGTCTTTTACGTGCGGGAATGGAAGGGCCAAGCTGGCAGCCTCCAAAGAAGTGTCTCCTGTCCTCCGAGTTAGTCCCAGAAAACGAAGAATGAGCAGAAATGCATGAAGTTTAAGGCTTAGGGTTTGGGGTTCTCTACGCCCGAACCCTAACTCAACCCTAAGTCTGGGGGACGATTGAGATTACGATCTTGCACTTGGGGTTTCATGAGAAGGTGACGTTTGGGCATGTGTGGGATGAAGCTTCAGTTTCGGGCTTGGGGCTGCTAACGGTCACTCAGACTTCTCAACATGACCACCCAAAGCCTCCTCCCAACTCCTACGCCCTCATCGCACTTGGTAAATCCCAACCATAAGTCTTAATCGTAAGCTCAGTGTGCAGCCGGACTAAGGATGCGCAACCGCAAGCCGGAAGCAACGAAGAAAGGGGAGGTGGCCTTGCCTGAAAAACTAAACAGTGAAGAAGCTTCGAATATGTTTTGTCGTAGCATCATTTTTCCGTGTTTTCTGTCTGAAATCTCGGTAAATATCAGTATCAGTACACCATTACAGTCCGACGCCCTTTCCCTTTCGTTGAGCCGGCATGTTTCAGGGATTACTGTGCTCGGTTTAAGGTCAAGGCCCTAAACCTTAAACCCTAAACCCTCAACCCTAAACACTAAGCTTGGAGTTGGGCAGCCCGCAAAATTAAAACCCTGAAGCTTTTGGTAAAAGTCTAAACCCCAAAACCCACAAGCCCGAAACCCTGCAACGGGTTAGGGTTTAGGGGTTTAGGATTTAGGGACTCTAACAGAGATGACCCCACAAAAGCGGTAGAATGATCATGACCGCCACCCATATTCTCAGCAGCCAGATCGCCCTGTCGTAAACTGTACCTTGGCCGACTTCTCGTTGCAAACGCCGAGGCTTAGGGTTTAGGGTTTAGGGTTTTGTGTTCAAGGTAAGGTTTAAGGCTAATAGGGTTTATCGTCTAAGGCTGCCGGACCTCGGCAGGCCCAGAAGGCCTAAAAGACACCCCCCAAAAAAAAACAAACAAACTTAACTCCTCTAAGGCATGAAACAAAACCCAGAGAAGGATCAGCAAATTCGGGCCCTCCGGAAATTCATGAACTTTCAACCTCACAGGAATCAACCGTCGATGACGAAACTTTGGGAAGCGGTTCAGTCTTCCGGTGTGGGGCTAAGGGCTTGCAGTAGATTCAGCAACGCTGGAACATGGGCTGGGATGTGTAGTGCAGGAATTTCAGGTTGGGCATAAACCCTGAACCCTCTTACGTTGAGGGCATCAGGATGACGATCTTCCAAACTTTCCGGGGCTCTACAGGCACAGGTAGGAGCAGCAATTTTATCCTCCAGCCCTTCGCCCAGGAAAGACGGGAAGAGGGCCTAAATCATCCCATTTCCATTTCCCGAGTCTTTGGCTCCTAATGGCAACCCGTACAGGCTTGCAAAAAATCTCGGATGATTTTCTCCCGAAAAAATTTCGAAGCCCTGCAAAGAAGCCGAAAAAGGACACCCATAAAAGGGGACCCTATTCTAGAACCCTATAGAGCCCCTTAAAGAGATCCTATCATAGACCCCTCCTAGACCCCTTTTATAGTACCCCAGCAAGGGGCCCCTATTCTAGAACCCTATAGAGCCCCTTAAAGAGACCCTATCATAGAACCCCTTTATAGTACCCCATAGAGGGGACCCTATTATAGAACCCGAAAGAGCCCCTTAAAGAGACCCTATCATAGAAGCCTTTAAGCTTTTTTTTATAGTACCCCATAAACCCTAAACCCTAAACCCCAAACCAAAAAACCCTAAACCCTAAACCCTTTTATAGCACCCCATTTTAAGGGGCCCAGTGTTGCCACCGAAGTGCAAGGTCGCCCGTGTTGGGCGACGAATCCTCTGCCGCCGGGCTTGGCACCACTCCTTTGAAGGCCAGGCGTCACAAGGCTTTCAGGTCTGAGGTTTAGGGTTTGGGGTTTAGGGTTTAGGGTTTAGGGTGTAGGGTTTAGGGTTTAGAGTTTAGGGGCCCTAAACCCTAAACCCAGGATTGAATCCCATCCTTTTTGTTGCTGCCTTTATGGTGGGGCCTGGTGGGGTTGCGGCGTGACGGCTTTGAGGTCGGGGGGGAGGGGCGTTGAGTCTGATGAGGCAAGTGATCTTACGCTGTGCGGATTCTGACTGCCTAAAACAGGAGTTGTCTGCACTGCTCTCAGTCTTGGGCATGCAAGCACTGTGCGGAAATACGGCTGCGAACTGTTGAAGCTGCTCTTGTTCTTGTAGGCGCGGAAGCGGGTGCAGCAGCACGGACACTTTGAATGCAGTACCGCAGCCCTGCAAATCAAGACCCTGGTACCTAAACCTCGACGGCGCGAGGTCTTCACCATCCTCATGGACGAAAACTGATTATGGGAGCCGCGGGAAAAGTAGTAACACTATCCCTTCTAGTCCTTATATAACCGTTGACACTATAGGCTTCGTGCATTCAGAGTATGTCAGGCGGAGGAGCCAAATTCGCTCCCACTGTGTTTTATTATTCACAGGCACATCTGGTTCCAGCGGAGCCGGCGCGTGGCTCCCGCTTCGGTGAGGTGCATACTTTGCGCCGTGACGTGATGTTGCTCTCAGGGAATTCACGTCGTGCGCCCCGCATAGCGGGATTAATTGGAAACAACTATATGTGGACAACTTTTCGAAAACATTGAATAGCAGCAGTACTCACGGGAAAGGATGTGGGGCATCTTTGTAACTGTAGATGCCGCCAGCCACGGGGGGGAAGCAGAAGCATAGTGGTGACGCCATGACTTGGTGGAAAGCAGGCTCGCACCGGTCTTGGATCCGCGAATACTTGGAGGTTCATGGGTAGTTATAAATGGAGCTATAAGTCCCCCAACATGGGTTATAACTATAGTTACCCTACTTATTATAAGCCTACTTATAACTACCCATGAACCTCCAAGTACTTGCAGGAAAGCTCTTGCACTCTGCTCTTTGTGGTCTCCTCGTGCTCTTCTGGTGATCTGTTGGTGGTCTCCGGGGCCTCCTGGGGTCTCCTCGTGGCTTTCCCGTGGTCGTGGTCGTCATCCTCGTGCGGATCCCTCTTCTATGGCTTTAAGGAGTTTAAGGCATGTGGGTGGAATGAGGGTTAGTAAGCTACCCTAAACTCCTAAACCCTAAACCATAAGCTCCCTGAGACACCGAACTGTTTTCCAGTGCCATCAGAGAGGCGCACGAACTGCGAGCCTTCCGCCATGCTCCTAACTACGCCGCGAGTAGAGTTTCGGCAACATCCATGAGCTTCATGTTCATGGTTCAGGGTTTAGGGTTTAGGGGTTTAGGGGTTTAGGGTTTATCATGTGCAGAGGAGGAAGTGACGAGGGATAGCTTTTTTTCAGCCAGGGCTTTTCAAGGCCGTGAGTGAACTGTAGTGATGAGAGCTTGTTGCATCTCTGACGATCTTCAACACCCTATAACTCTCTTGCAGCCTGTCGTTTTGCGCGGCACACGCAAAGGACGTCCATCCAGAACCGTCTTCGCACTTGTGCAAGCCTTCGTGCCACACGTCGCACCCCCCTACAGCCAAGCTCAAGCTTTCCAAACTTCCACTTCTGCTGCTCTCCCTGCTCTATTAAGGCAATGACTACTGCGACGACGCCGTCTACGGTGCAGACACAATGACTGCTTGTGCTGCTGCTGCTGCTGCTGCTGCTGCTGCTGCTGCTGCTGCTGCTTGTTGAAGCAACATATAATAACAGTGGTGGTACGAGTGGCAGTAGCAGCAGCAGGCAGCAGCAGCAGGAGGAGCAGTAGTAGTGGTGGTAGCAGCCAGCGAAACCCCAAAATCGAAACGTCCGAAGCCCCGAATCTCATCATCTCAGTATACTTGTCGGAGTTTTTACTATCTATAGCCCTGACTCCCAGTTGCACTGCTGCAGCAGCGAATGCTCAAAGGCTAACTACGACGACACTTGTGTTTATGCCACTCCTCCTCCCACCACTACTGCTACATGTCTGTTTGGTATCATTCCCTTCATTCTGCTTCCGATGATTTTCCCGAAATCCTAGAGCCTGAGTCCTAAACTTTCGGAATAGGGTGTGGCAGTATACTATACTATACTTATAAGCAGGAACCCCNNAACCCCAAAAATAGTATTGGTAATCACTTAGGTCCCTATTGACTTTCGCTTTTTTCTTTCGGCTCGCTCGGGACGGCACAGGGCCCTCTTACAGGAGCTCACAGCCGCCGCAGCAGAACCGCAGCTCGCGTGGTGTCGTTTTCAAGGAGTTTGCTGGGTTCTCGGGGCTTGAGGTAGCAGTTAAAGTTCTCTCCCCGAAGACTGGAGTAAGCCGCGGTCGAGAAATCTCCGAAAGGAGGATGTCTTGAAGATACGGAAGGAAAGCTGACCAGTATGCACGCGTAGCCCCAAGCCTTCAAACAACTTCGGCGGCAGAACGGGACTAGCTGATGGCCTACAGCTCACTACCATGCGAAGTGGGAAGAAGCTCGATGCCGTCTTGTAGGAAGCTGGTCGACAACGCTTCCACATCCGGTGTATCCTCCGCTTTGGAGTCGATTCTTCGGCTTGTGGACATAGGCGGATACTTTCGGGTTTGAAGGTGTCGGATGTATGGGCTCAGGGCCTCAGGGTTCAGAGCGTTCTGCGGATTGCCATTGAAGCTCTTGCAGTTATCCTTCGTTGGAGCAACGACAAAAATCAATCATCATTGCCTATCCCGTCTCTCATGACAGCATCTTCTTCCGGACCCGCTGGATCGTCGCCACCCATCTTGAGGCAGATTTCAACTAAATCCGAAAACCCTACAATCGAAGCAGCTGCGAACATCATCATCCTGCAACCTCGGCGGATGACATGACTCCTGAAGCCTAAGCCCCAAAGCCTCAATCTCGAAACTAATCCGAGCAAAATCGACGATGAATTCTACTCCTCCTCCTCCTCTTCCGCCTCCT